TTAAGGCTCTTCTTCCTGGAGGTTTGATGCACGAGGGCTGATATTCAAACATGTTGTGATGTCTCTTGTCCAAATCACTACAAGAGTTTGTCTCTATAATCAGTCTGGCACACTGACCATCCCAAAGGAAGCGAGCCGATCTGGTGCTTTAACAGAAGCTTGACGTCATGTTAAACGGGCGAGGAGAAGATAAGAGAAGATGGAACTGTATTTATCCCCTTGGGGACATTCAGGCGTTTATAGCAGCAACGGGTCAGAGTTAAAAACAGGATTCACACGAGGTCAAAATAAAGACAAAATATTGATAAAGTGATTGATCTTAGAACAGCAAGAGTAAATTAAAGACCTATCTTTTTAATTTGGCTTATAATTTGGGGCGATTGTAATGTTTTCGTAGAATCACTGTTCATTTTTTATGGTTTTATGGTTCACTGATCTAACTCTTTCTGTTAATTATTGTTCCTCATTTGTCATTTTCTGTCATACACTTTAGAGCAGGGGTCAAACTCAAATACACAGTGGGCCAAAATAAAAAAATGGGTACTAGTGGAGGGCCGGACTGGTTCAATGTTTATAGCAGAACTTATTGAAATGAACTTATTGCACATATTAAACCTGGAACTAACAAAGCTTAAATGATTGCCTATAAAAACAACATTAAACATTAAATAATCAGTTGCATTCATTTCTTATGTCTCTATCTGCAGCTTTTCCAGAGTCATTTCTTATGATTACATTTCTCCACAGGCCAACAACAGCTTCAACAAAACTATTTCCCTCAAAGAACAAACCAAACATGCCCTGTTGTCGTGAGAGAGAAAGTGCAGAAGGAAACATGTGAACTCAGCTTGCTGCTCTGTGATGCTAGCTCAGATACTTGGCATCTCATCTTGGGTGCAAGGTCATCAATGTTTGGGCTCAGGCTCTGAGCTGAGGAGACCCTCAGGATGGAGTGAAGGTGTGCGTGCAATATACCGGAGGGCCAGATCTAATAGTCATTACAAATTATCCTGCAGGCCGAAATTAAATCCACCACGGGCCTGATTTGGCCCCCGGGCCTTGAGTTTGACACATGTGCTGTAAAGCACTTTGGGCTGCAGCAAGCATGAGAGGTGCGATATATAAATAAAGTTTAATATTATGTTTATTATTATTATTTAAAAACAGATCTGCCACTGTACCGGCATCCATACTTAAATTTGATTTTGTCTTTCCCACTTCTCAACAAGACGTCAAAGGAAGGCACTGTTTCATTTATGCATTATTTTTTATATATATCTTTTTATATTTTATCTGACAAGGCTGTACAATTCTTTATTTGTAATGGTTTTATTACTTTAAATGTGTTTTCTTCTGATCTTTGTATATTATCTCAAAGGGAAATGTTTCACTGTGTTTAGCTGCACCACGTGTTGCAGATTGCAGCTTTAAGGGACAATAAACGATACCTTATCTTTTTACCAAGAAACAAGACATGCAAGGTCACTGCGTACTGTATATGTAAGATATCAGGGTGACTTCTGCAGGACAAATAATGTAGAGTGTTTGCTTTCTGTGATGATCCATCAGGTACGTGGTGAACTTTCCTCCGCACACTGAGTAAACACAGACTGAAGATAAATAATGACTAACTTCAGCTGGAAGCGGGCCGGAGGAGAGGCTCATTTAAAGACTCAAACGTCCTGAAGATAAAACCACACATTCATCCAGGATGAAAGCCCAGAGTCACATGACACGTCTCCTAGTCCGAGAGGGAAGATCTGCAGAAGGTTTTTATAATATCTTATAACATAACGTTGACCTGTCCCACAAATACAGCAGCCAGTTTATAAAGTTCAAACATTCAAAATATGGAATACGTCTAAACATTATATTAGATTGACTGTATTTGTGTGTGCGTGTGTGTGTGTGTGTGTGTGTGTGTGTGTGTGTGTGTGTGTGTGTGTGTGTGCGTGTGTGTGTGTGTGTGTGCGTGTGTGTGTGTGTGTGCGTGTGTGTGTGTGTGTGCGTGTGTGTGGTGCGTGTGCGTGTGCGTGTATGTGCGTGTGTGTGTGCGTGCGTGTATGTGTGTGTGTGTATGTGTGTGTGTGTGTGTGTGTGTGTGCGTGTGTGTGTGCGTGTGCGTGTATGTGTGTGTGCGTGTGTGTATGTGTGTGTGTGTGTGTGCATGCGTGTATGTGTGTGTGTGTGTGTGTGTGCGTGCGTGCGTGCGTGTGTGTGTGTGTGTGTGTGTGTGCGTGTGCGTGTATGTGTGTGTGTGTGTGTGTGTGTGTGTGTGTGTGCGTGCATGCGTGTATGTGAGTGTGGTGTGTGCGTGTATGTGTGTGTGTGTGTGTGTGTGTGTGTGTGTATGTGTGTGTGTGTGTGTGTGGTGTGTGTGTGTGTGTGTGTGTGTGTGTGTGTGTGTGTGTGTGTGTTGTGTGTGTGTGTGTGTGTGTGTGTGGGTGCAGACGGCTGCAGAAACGGAAGGGAAACCTGTTTCTAAAATGATGGGTTGGTTCTGCTACGCTGTTGCCATGGCGACGTGCAGTCCTCAAATGACAGGGCGCGTTTATATATACATGTTTCTGGGGAAACCTCTCCGAGCATCACATTCACGGCGTGCAGGCTTTCCTTTGTCATACAACTGTATTTTGTTTAGAAAACATTTATCCTTATCAGCAAAATCCAAAGGCTTCTTTAACCAGTTTTTCTTAAAGAGACCCTGGTGTTGCTTTTTGGGGTGCCCCCCCCCCCCCCCCCTCCTGTAGTGTCTTATTTAGGTGTTTGTGCATCTAAATGGTCTGCAAAGGCTAAAGTATGTCACAGTAGAAACACTAAATACACATTCAAACCTGAAAATAAGCATACAGTCATTTCTTTATAGGTTTCTTGTTTGTTTACTCGTTGCTGTTGTTCTGCTTTGCTCTGATTGTGTAAACGACTCATTGTAATGAGCTCTGGAGAAGAAATGAGGGTTGCCTTTGTTTCTATACTTTTATTCTCAGGACACAGGCTGGTGTCGGCAGATGATAAATCCTACAGGAAATAAGAAAACTCTAATAGACGGACTCATTATCATTTGTAGGACTTTCCTCTCCTCTTTGATTGGTTGTTGTCTAACCTCTTTAAGCCTGAACACAGAAATGAATCCATGAAGACATTCAGAACAGAAATATCCATTTATTCGAACTGATAGAAACGTACACGATGAAATGTCTGAGATAGCTTACGCTTGTTTGACGTGAAATCTAAATCTGAAGGAGTAGCGTGTATTTCTATCTTAACTGCAGTGGAGTATAAGTAACACGACATGGAAAGACTCTGGTAAATACCTCCAAATGTACTTTTACTTAAAGGGGACCTATCATGCAAAATGCACTTTGGTACGTCTTTTCTACATGAATATGTGTCCCCGGTGTTCCAGGGAACTCACCAAGTGTCAGAAAACACAACCCTCTCTATTTTCCTCCATACCCAAATCTCTAAAAAAGGGGCTGCAACGGATCTGATAAAAACTGATCCAGATTTGAACACTTCTATGTCGTCACAGAAGTGGCGCTACGGCTATTGGGCCAACTCTCCACCTATCAGGGGAATGTGGGGTTGGGCCACGGCCGGCCATTGCCGCTCGAAAGCGCTGGAGACGCTGTAGTACATATGCCAGGCCTGTAAGTGGCGCTGTAGTCTGCCACAAAAGCAGCGAAGAAGACTTCCCGCCCATAGTTACCATGGTTACTATTCTGTTTATTCTCCGCTGTGGCTTTCTTTCTCCCTCCCCGAGGCAAGCGCCCACCTCTCCGCCTCTTCCAAGGAACGAGGGGACCGTGCGGCAGAGTTTCAGTTTCAGTTTGTTTCGCCGGTCAAGATGTCCGTTAAAGTTTAAATCTTCCGGACAAAATGAGAAAAGTGCCGGTCAAAGGTCTTCTTTGTTATTTATTGAGCTTTAAAACAAATGAATAACGACTCTATATAATAAAACACGGAGGACGGAGATCTCTTTTTCTCCCCCTCTTCTGACAGCCCAGCAGCTGATCAGAGCACGTCTCCCCTCTCCTGCAGGGGGGCGTGGTCAGCAGAATCAGACCCGTAGACAGCAAACAGCACATAGAGCGAAATGAGGCATGGCTAAAATGCATGATCTGTTTGGTATTTTGAAAACAGAAACGTATAAATATACCTTATATAGGTATGGCCCTACAATATATCATTTAAATATAGCATGATAGGTCCACTTTAAGTAAATGTACTCAGTTCTCCTGGGAGAAGTAGTTGACTCTTTATGCATCTTTTGAAAGACACTTCAACTAATATAACACAGATTTAGTGAAAGCGATCCAAATGGAGAAGCACCGGGCTAACAGTCTGATACTCACACGAGGGTACAAATTAAAGCTGAATCCAGTATTTCATTCATTTGACAATCTATTATTCATTTAATTGACTTGTTTTAAAGAAAATCGACAAAGATGAGGTGAAAGTGGGTTCATTCGCTGGTTCAGCTTCTGTCATGCTTTCTGAAACATATCGGGACATTTTGAAGTGCATTTCCACCTCTTTCTGACATTTGATGTACCAAACCAGTAAATCACTTAATACAGAAAGTAATTAGCTTATGAATCATTAATAAAAAACACTGTTTGGTAACTTATGTGCAGAAAAAGGCCGTGAACTGAGTCCTGAAGCCTGAGCAGAAGCAGCTTTTAAAGCACACATGCTGTCCCTCACTCACAGGAAACAGGCCCTTTAATGTGGAAACAACTATAAAATGATCTAGAGGAGAGCTAGCTGCACTCGGGACATCAATCTAAGATGGTTGGGGTTGCTGCTGTGGTGAGGCAGTAAACTCTGCACCGCATTGCAGGTCCATAAAAGCAGCTCCACTCAATGTGCAGGACGTGTTAGATTTAACGTCTGCCGGAGGATTTAACCTCTGTGACCTCTCTCTAACCACACCTGGACGAAAGAATCCTGCAGGTTAAAGGTCAACTGACTCCGGGGGAGAAAAACAAGAACAGTTGTGGATTTTTACATCTTTTAATATTCAAAAAATACTTCAATTTTGGCTTCTTTAGTATACACAAAGCACCTGGATCTGCCCCTCTGTCTCTCCATACAGTGTCTGTGAGGTGTAGGAAATGAAAAGTGCAAAGTGGTCGACTCTGTCCTCCGTCCTCCTGCAGAGGAACGAGACTTCAACGCTCCCACAGGAATACAAACAGTCGGCGTGACTCACAGATTCTCCAGAAGAAATAACAGAGTGACTCGAAGCCACGTGCAAAACCAAATCAAAATGCCATGAAGGGAGCTTCTTCTTCTTCTGTGGTTTAAAGCATGAAAGCAGCAGGTAGACGGGCCAGCCGCTCCTCTCTCTCTACGGACGAGGGTTAGGGCAACGTGGGGAAGGATTTGGGGATGTTTGACATTTAAGACAGAATTCTGGGAAAGGTCAGAGTACCAAAAACAAAATCAAAACAAAACGTCTGAAATCTGTTAAAAAAATCACAAAACTTCGGGAAAAAAAGTCACAAATATATTTTTTTCTTTCTCGCAATTAGGACTTAAATCTCAGAAATCTGTTGTCTTTCATGGGAATTCTGCCTTTTTGGGGAATTCTGCCTTTTTGGGGGAATTCTGACTTAAATCTCAGAATTCCAAAAAAAGGTCAGAATTGAAACAAAGTCTGAAATATGTTAATAAAATTAGAAAACTTTGGGATAAATGTCAGAAATAAATATATATATTTGTTCTCACAATTAGGACTTCAATCTCAGAATTCTGTCTTTTTTGGGAATTGTACATTTTTTCTCAGAATTCGAACTTTTTTAAAGATTTCTTTCCTTTTTTTGAAATATTACCTTAATCTCAGAATTCTTAAAAAAACAAAAAAATGTATTTGAAATCTCAGAAATTCTGTCAATTCTTAATTCAATCCCAGAACTCGAGGATTAAAATCAGAACCCAACATTGTTTTTTCTTCACACATCCCAGACATTATTCCCCTCACGTGGCCCTGGTCCTCTCCCGTATTCCTCCACGCTGAACTGAACAAGTGTTTCTGTCTTTTTGGTTGTATTTGTATCTCCTGTGTGCAGAAACGTTCACAGCTTTAATCCAAAACGAATCACTGCAAAGTAAACCTGTGGCCAAACAGTCCGAGTATCAGCTGCTGCTTCTTCTTCTGCTTCAGAGACTTCCTTCAGGATCATCTCCTACAGTTTGTTGTGACTTTAAAAATCTGACTTTAATCTGCAGAAATCTGACTTCTTGGGAATAATCCAAAATGAATCACTGCAAAGTCAAGTGAATCCAGCGGCTGTTACTGCTTCTTCTGCTTCAGTCTTCCTCCAGCATCACACTGTTCTGAAATCTGACTTTAATCTGCAGAAATCGGACTTTTTGGACTGAACCCAGCCCCAGCAGCTGTTACCGCTTCTTCTTCTGCTTCAGAGACTTCCTCCTCTTCAGGATCATCTCATACAGAGTGTCCATGCCCTCGTGCAGCCCCTCTCCTATGATGGCGCATGCAGGTTGGACATGATAAGGTGTCGCGGGGCTCAGCTCCTTGAGGGCCAGATGCTTCTCGATCTCCTCCACCAACAAAGACTTGGGGAGATCCTGTTTGTTGGCGATAACCAGCAGAGGAGTTCCCTGGTTCTCAGAGAACTTTGTGACTTTGTGCAGTTCGGTTTTGGCCTCCTCCAGCCGGTCCACATCCACAGAATCCACCACGTAAATGATACCGTCCGTGCACCGACTGTAAGATTTCCAAAGTGGTCTCAGTTTCTCCTGACCTCCAACATCCCAGAAATGGCAGCTGATACCCTTCGCAGTGCCGTTACTCAGCTTGATTTTCTCCGTGTTGAAACCGATTGTGGGCACGGTGTTCACGAACTCGTTGAATTTGAGCCGGTAGAGCACGGTGGTTTTCCCCGCAGAGTCCAGCCCCAGCATGACGATGTGCAGCGACTGGAAGGCGGAGATATTGGAGAAGCTGTTGCCCATTTTTTGGCAGTTTTCAATATCTGCTGCCTTTTTTTGTTTTGTTTCTAAATCCACGGTCCCTGGAAATAAAAGGATTAATCCCCGGGACGCATTCGTTATTCCCCTCACGCGCTCTCATCCATTTCCACAGTCCTCCTCCCAATGTGTCGGTGATAATAAACCCTTCTGGATCAGAACACTCCCCCTTTTTTTTTTTACGCACGGATATATCCAGGAGGTCCCGGGAAATAAGTGCGTCCTTCTCCGGGGAAACTACCGGTAAAATCAGGTTCCTCCGGTGCCGAGTGTCGGTGTTTCTTCCCCGGTCCTCCTCTCTGTTGTGAGGCTGAGAGAAAACAGAGGACCGCAAAACAAGAGAAGCTCCACCCACCCAACACACACACACACACACACACACACACACACACACACACACACACACACACACACACACACACACACACACACACACACACACACACACACACACACGCACACACACGCACACACACACACGCACACACACGCACACACACACACACACACGTTTCCAGATTAAAATAATTTCAGTATTTTCTAAACTGTGTTGGTTTGGTTTTGTCTGGCGTGTTCAAATATTATAAAGAGGGGAAACAAGTGTGAAACTGTAAAAACACGGAGGCGTTAACCCTGTGTTGTGATCTGGTGAATCCTGGGCAACTCTGCCCTCTGGTGGTCGAAGTGGGTCACCACATGATACACACAATACATGCATTAACAAATAACTAATCATTGTTTACTTATTAAATAAAAAATAGTTTACCAAAGTTGTCATTCATAAACATCTGCTGAGATACATTTTAGAAATAATGTATTTTAAAATAAATTTGAATAATATAAATCCACTGCCGACAAAAAAATATAATAGTATTTAAAAAATAAAATATGTTTAATGCAAACAATGTTCAAGGTGAATTAAGTTAATTTCGTAAAATAAAACATAAACCAGGACCAGTGATGAATTTTAAAGATATAAAATGTTATTGTGAAAAATAACCATATCATAACATTTTAATAATAAAGTGTGTTAAATGAAATGTACTTGAGTAAAAGTAGAAGTACTCAGATCTTGTACTTGAGTAAAAGTAGAAGTACTCAGATCTTGAACTTGAGTAAAAGTAGAAGTACTCAGATCTTGTACTTGAGTAAAAGTAGAAGTACTCAGATCTTGTACTTGAGTAAAAGTAGAAGTACTCAGATCTTGTACTTGAGTAAAAGTAGAAGTACTCAGATCTTGAACTTGAGTAAAAGTAGAAGTACTCAGATCTTGTACTTGAGTAAAAGTAGAAGTACTCAGATCTTGAACTTGAGTAAAAGTAGAAGTACTCAGATCTTGTTCTTCAGTAAAAGTAGAAGTACTCAGATCTTGTACTTGAGTAAAAGTAGAAGTACTCAGACCTTGTACTTGAGTAAAAGTAGAAGTACTCAGACCTTGTACTTGAGTAAAAGTACAAGTACTCAGATCTTGAACTTGAGTAAAAGTAGAAGTACTCAGATCTTGTACTTGAGTAAAAGTAGAAGTACTCAGATCTTGTACTTGAGTAAAAGTAGAAGTACTCAGACCTTGTACTTGAGTAAAAGTACAAGTACTCAGATCTTGAACTTGAGTAAAAGTAGAAGTACTCAGATCTTGTACTTGAGTAAAAGTAGAAGTACTCAGACCTTGTACTTGAGTAAAAGTAGAAGTACTCAGATCTTGTACTTGAGTAAAAGTAGAAGTACTCAGATCTTGTACGTCAGTAAAAGTAGAAGTACTCAGGTCTTGTACTTGAGTAAAAGTAGAAGTACTCAGACCTTGTACTTGAGTAAAAGTAGAAGTACTCAGATCTTGTACTTGAGTAAAAGTAGAAGTACTCAGATCTTGTACTTGAGTAAAAGTAGAAGTACTCAGATCTTGTTCTTCAGTAAAAGTAGAAGTACTCAGATCTTGTACTTGAGTAAAAGTAGAAGTACTCAGATCTTGTACTTGAGTAAAAGTAGAAGTACTCAGACCTTGTACTTGAGTAAAAGTACAAGTACTCAGATCTTGAACTTGAGTAAAAGTAGAAGTACTCAGATCTTGTACTTGAGTAAAAGTAGAAGTACTCAGACCTTGTACTTGAGTAAAAGTAGAAGTACTCAGATCTTGTACTTGAGTAAAAGTAGAAGTACTCAGATCTTGTACGTCAGTAAAAGTAGAAGTACTCAGGTCTTGTACTTGAGTAAAAGTAGAAGTACTCAGACCTTGTACTTGAGTAAAAGTAGAAGTACTCAGATCTTGTACTTGAGTAAAAGTAGAAGTACTCAGATCTTGTACTTGAGTAAAAGTAGAAGTACTCAGATCTTGTTCTTCAGTAAAAGTAGAAGTACTCAGATCTTGTACTTGAGTAAAAGTAGAAGTACCAGAGTGTAGGAATACTCTGTTTCAGTAAAAGTCCTGCATTCAAAATGTTCCTCAAGTAAAAGTAGAAAAGTATTCTCATCAAAATATAGTTAAAGTAGCGACAGTAAAAGTAGTCATTGTGCAGATTGGTCCATTTCAGAATAATATATATGATATGTTTTATAATGATTGATCATGAAAGTGTTCTCAAAGCTGGTAAAGGTGCAGCTAGTTTGAATGACTTTGTATACTGCAGGGTAGCTTGTGGATTTACTCCAGGTGGAACTAAAGTCTGATTTAACACTTGGTTATATTTCACATCATTCATCCAGATCTGTGAAGTAACTAAAGGTATTAAATACATGTAGTGGAGGAAAAGTACAACATTTACCTCTGAACTGAGTAGAAGTACAAAGTAGCATAACATGGAAATACTCAAGTACAAGTACCTCAAAATGTTAGTTTAGTACAGTACTTGAGTAAATGTACTAAATTACTTCCACCCTTGTTTTTGAGATTCTTAATAAAGTAATCGTACTTTCCTCGGATGGCAATGGTTGGAACATTGACTTCCGGATAAACACACTCAGAATTACAATTTTTTATTTTAATTAAATATCCTCAAATAAATGTTGATAACTCATTCTCACTGTAATCAGGTTAAATGTAATGAAGCAGTAATATGTGGTGCTGCTTTCCTCCAGCAGATGGCGTGCTGTGTTTCTCTGTCACATCCAGCTGGAGGGTTCAGCAGTGTGCACAGAGCGGTGGTGTGACATGAATATAAGATACACACTGAATATGAGATAAAAAGTGATTCTAATCTTGACTTTCTGCAGATCTCCACTTCATATCCACCAGAGTGAAGTCAGAGCAGAGAGCAGAGACAGAGGTGTGTTCAGATCTGAGTACACACACACACACACACACACACACACACACACACACACACACACACACACACACACACACACACACACACACACACACACACACACACACACACACACACACACACACACACACAGTGGCTGTTGAAACAAACAGTGTGTGTACATGTGCTCACACGTCCTCAGTTTCTCCTTCATCATTATTCCAGAGAGGATACCTGCAGGAGCGCACCTCTCTCCACACACACACACACACACACACACACACACACACACACACACACACACACACACACACACACACACACACACACACACACACACACACACACACACACAGACACGCTTCCACTCCCTGCAGCCTGATGCCTTCCCTGAGCGTGTCATTAGAGGAGGCACTGCAGGATCAAGTCAAATATCTCCACTTACCCTCAAATCAAAACGCTGGAATATCATCAGATCTCTCTTTTCTGATACTGATGGATACTTTTTATATCCACAAGAGCACACACACACACACACACACACACACACACACACACACACACACACACACACACACACACACACACACACACACACACACACACACACACACACACACACACACACACACACACACACACACACACACACACACACATGGGAAAGGCACTGGCAGATACCATCCATCTAGATTAAATACTGCACTTTAAATAAAGTACTATGAATATAAATATTTATGTGAAGCTGAGGCTAAGTCAGAAATATTTTACATTTGGTCATTTCTGCATACTTTGTTTGGAGGCACTTTCAGATTGTTCATGAAGTCTATGATTATATTTTAGTTGAGTTAACATAGTGCTCATATATATTTGAGTTTTAGAAACTGATTTTATTTACAATATAGGCAGAACACATCTGAAGTGGAAACACTTTTACACTTTCTGACGTTTGTAAAATCACTAAAAAAAAAAGCTGTAGTTTGTTATATAGGTTTTTGTGCATGTCAATGGTCTACAGAGGCTAAACTCCTTAGCGTTTTGAACACTAAAGCATGGAAACATGTCACAGTAAAGCTCCCAAATATGAACCTAAAAAAGATCATTATAGGTCCCCTTTAAGATTGAAGATTTGACATTATGGATTATGTAAAAAGCTTTTTCAACCACATTGTTTAAAACCAAATCAGTGGTTTACAACCCTTTTGGCGCATTCTTACAAAAAGCTGAATTTAGTTGGAAGTCTATGAAATATAATTTCTTCCTCTAATCTTCTCACAAGGTTTCAAGTCAATAATGATCCATATCTCACCAAAAATGTCAGAAAACGTTGAACAAATATCACATAATATTATCTAATTTAGAGAGAATAAGCTAGTCATTTAAAGTTACTACTTTTTGCTGCTATGCACCTTTACTTATGTACGCTTTTTAATGCATACATTTTCCTTGTAATTACATATTTCTTTTCATTGCTGTATTGGAATTTCTTCCACTCTTTGTAGAGGACAGTGTGCAGCATGCTGACTCATGAATGAATCATGGAGGATGAAATGAATGTTGGTTTTATTCTAGAAACCAGGGTTCAGAGCAGAGCAGACTTTCTGAGATTCTAATCAAGACTTCAAAGTCTGATCGTCAGGCGGACACGGCAGCGCTGATATCACACCAGACATTTATTTGTTTTCTGAGTTATCTTTTGACAGAAAGGCCTTGGAAAATTGGTCTGCAGCAGCCGTGAGTGATGCAATGATGTCCTCGCCTGTGAAATCATGTTAAACGACCCGAGGGCTAAAGCCGTACTTCAATCAGGAAGTGGGAATTTATTCAAAACTCTTCAAGTGAAAAATATCAGGACACGTTTTATATAATCTGCAGAAACAGTTGACGAATGGGAGGCTCCACCTGTCTGTCAGAACAAACAAACTACAGACATGTTTACTTTCTTTTACCTCTTGAAACTCTACATGAAGTCTAATATAAGCGATTTAAAAATGTATGTAAATGTACTAATCCCAAACCTGCTCAATACTATATTTTTGGATTGAAACTGTTTGCATTTTCACCTAAAAATG